CCACACAACTCGTCCGTTTCACATTCCATCCCAAACATCCGCACCCGACCATCACCACAATGCATCACCTAAGTATCCCCACCGCGTCCAGATAAAGCGGCCTTTTACAGCCCTGGGCGAGTGAAGTCAGTCAGCCAGTTAATTGTTTCCCCTTTTTTTCGGGGAGCCACATAACATCGAATACGGGCTCCTGCAAAGCATTTCCAGGTCATCCGCAGAGCGTCAAACCGTTATGGCAATCGCAGAGGAAGGAGCACATTTGTGGCAGCGGTGATGGGTACAAACACGTAGACGTGGAATTACAAGTGAACGGCGATGTGGGAGGGAAAGATTGGTACCGAGATCTAATATTCGATCTCAAGACGGTGATGGAGTCGCTGTCTAGGGCCCTTGCTTTGGAATGACGTTTCTAATTTCTGGAGCTCGGGGCTCATCAACGAAATATGATGTTCCTCTCCTTTCCCTCCTCGCCCCTCACAGCCACGCCTCCCTCCCGCAGCACGCACGCCCGCGTGAAGAAGCCGATGCCCATTACAGCGCCGACAACTTCCTGGTCTGTCGAACTGTCTACTTAGATATGGGTCCGGAAAGCACGTAGCACACGCAGAACGGGACAGTGTGACAGTGCAGCAGCGGAGTGTCGCACACGCCACTCCTGCAAATCCGCGTTCCCCCCAAGGACGTCAGGCGCACGATAGCAACCCCGACCCGCAACAAGAACGCCCGCGCGCGCGGGGCCAGAGTCGGCAAGTCAGCAACCGACGCCATGGCGGTTTGCGCAGCAATTGCCGACACGACGACAGGCACCAACAACGGCCAGAGTGGATTGGCACAGAAGGCCAGTTTGCTGGAGAACCTCTTGGATGTCACTCCTCCCGGTCGCACCCCACACGTGTCGATTGGGCGGGCAGGACTACTGGCTTGAGTTTCCATCACCGTCGAGGATCTTGAAGCAGAACTTTGCAACAGCAACATGGATTGAAGGCGAGGCGTTTTCAAATTGTTGCTCTCGCTATAGCGTCGCGCACATTCGTTTGAACATGTTTCGGCTCTTTCACGGTTGGAAGAGATGGCGTTTTCAAAGCTTGGTTCTCGATTTGATGCCGCGCACGGCCGAATTCAAAGTTCGCAGCAGTTTCAAAAGTGGAGGGCATTTCTTGTTCAACATGTGGTTCTCGTCTTAGCGTCGCCAACATTTGTCTTGAATAATCAAGCCGTTCCAAGCATTTGTACGGTTGCACTCCCAGGAAAGGATTCTTGGCGCGATCGTAAGATTGTCTGGACGCGTCATTCAACATCGATTCGAAGTGCTGCAGTTCCAGGAGCGGTGCTCGAGCACCACATCCCACTACTGCCTGGACGCGTGAGTCAGGTTGTTTTGCAGCGCTGAAGCCCACTGATTAGCTATTTGACACGATTGAGGAATATCATATGGTTGGTTATTTTCCATCGCGGCACTTCCCGCAATGCCAAGCGAATCTTGTAGGCATTTTTGAAGAGGGAATTCGGAGGGATGGTTCATGGCAACATCGTTGATCCGCCTTGGGTTCGCACTGGTCCTCCTTCCCTGTCATGGCCACTGGCTTGCGCTTCTTTTGGTCCCTCCGTTGCGTGAGTCTGTGTGTCTGAGTGTCTGCGTGTCTGTGTGTCTCTATGTCTGTGTATCTGTGTTTTTTCTTCGTCATCTGTGAGTCAGTGTGTCGGTGTATCTGTTTGTCTGTGTATCTGTGTGTCTGTCCGTGTGTCTGCGTGTGTGCCTTTGTGCCCGCGTGTCTGTTTATCAGTCCTTCGGCCCCTCGCCCTGTCGTGTTTTCGGTCTTGGCCTGTCACGTGCTCTCTCGGGCCTTCTCGTCGTCTCTGGACCTCGTTGCTCGGCGGAGCGTGCACCCGAAAGCCGTCGCCGTCCTGCGCGACCGTTGGCCGAGAGGGCCCTGGAGTCACTGGAAGGGCCAAAACAAATGGTCCAGA